TCTTTAAATATAAAAAACGTACTTACAGTCTGTGAGTCAGAACAGCCGGCATTGTAGTCTACTCCACCAGGATCAGGAAACAGTCCTCCATAAAATGCGCTGCACACATCTGAATATTTGGGTTGAACTGTTCTGGAACAGTGTTGTAAATACAACTTAACCACTGATTTCTAGTCGTGTCCTCTTTTGGAAGGCCAAACAAAGTAGTTTCACACGGCGGGCTAGAGTGAGCGGAGGCCGACGGGCCTGAGTGAGCGGCGGCAGGCTAGAGTGAGCGGAGGCCGGTGGGCCTGAGTGAGCGGCGGCGGGCAGGCTTGAGAACGGCGCGGCCAGCGGATTCGACGAAAGAGCGTCCGGCGGGCTTGCGGCAACCACATGTGACGACCCCGGGCTGGACTCCACTTCATCCATGGTGAAAGCCGATCCGGCGAACCACAGCGTGAAGTTGATGTATTTCCTCAGCAACCAACACGGATCAGCTCCAGGCATGATGAAGCGGATATCATCTTCTTTTGGAAGGACAAACAAAGTAGTTTCGCTTTCACAACGAAACACACAGCGCCTTCACGACATGGCGGCGGCAACAACAATACTACAGCGAGAATAAAAGTTACGCCTTCTTTCTTTGCGTGAACATTTGGGCGGCGTTATGCAAATCTTCCCACATCATGACGAAGACATGTTGGGGGTTTGTTAGAACGAGCTGTTTTAGGTAGGCGTGGTTGGCTCTTAACTTTTATAAAGAATATCTCTTTGGATTGGAGACTTTAGTCTTTGCAACTTTACAGATCTAAGAGCTTGTAACACTCCAAAGAGAAAGGAAAATTTTAAATCGCATCATATGACCCCTTTAAATTGATCAAAAGTGACAGTAAAAACATTTAGAATGTTAAAAAGGTTTCTATTTTAAATAAATGCTGTTTTTAAACCTAAATCAAATAATTCTTCAAAAAATTTAAATTAAATCGCAGTTTCCACAAAAATATTGAGCAGCAAATCAGCATATTAGAATGATTTCTGAAGGATCATGTGACACTGAAGACTGGAGTAATAATGCTGAAAATTCAGCTTTACCACAGTAATAAATTACATTTTAAAATACATTCATATAGAAAACATTTTATATTGCAATAATATTTCACAATATTACTATTTTCACTGTATTTTTGATCAAATAAAAATACAGCCTTGGCGAGCATAAAACAGTATTAAAAAACAAAAAAATATTACTGACCCCAAACATTTGAACAGCAGTATAAAGTCTGCCTTTTCTTATAGTATGCTTTTAGATGACATGGAATATAGAGCTTAAGTTGTATTGGCCATATCCGTCTGTCCTTTTTGGGCATGACAGGTCCATATGTTGTTGTATGAAAAAGAGCAGCACAAACATTCATAAATTCATCTTTTGTGCTCTATGGAAGACAAACTCCATCAGGTTTGGAATGGCATTAGGATGAGTAAATGATAACAATTGTCATTTATGGGTGAACTATTCCAAAGTCATGTGTTGATATGGTTCTGAAAACCTTGTTAGTACAACTATTATTCATATAAATAAAGCTCTACAAACAACTGAATCATAGAAGGCTTACAGAAGCAAATCCAATTTGAGTGTGCATCACATTTGCTTTATGCCTTTATAAGGTTTAACAACTGATCTTAATCCACAGCACAAGGTTATTGGAGCTATCCTGTGCGAGCTGCCAGATCTTATCTGGGAAATTCCCAGCATGCATTGCATCTAAATGCCACGATACAATAATGAAATGGACACCAAAACATTCAAGGGACTAACCCAACCTCGTGGCCCATCCACAAAGCTAATTTCAAACAGACTTATCGCACACAGTAGCAGATGGAGTCATCAGACTGTGCCACATGAAAACAATCTGCAGGAACTTTGCAGAAAATAAATACATAAAAGTTTCAAGGCTAGGAATCATGCCATTTAAGTGAAGCACAATTGCTTCAAAGACGTGGTGCAGTTCCAGTGAAACATCCAGTGTCTGTGTGTGTTTCCTGCCTCATGCAAACAGATGACAGATCATTTAAAGAGACGGCACACTATTTACCACTCAAAATGTTTTGCTTGTGCATCTTAAAGCGTGAAACAAACTACATTATTGTTGCTTGTAACAGTGAGAAATTATTTTGGCAAGCTGTCTCTTAAAAATTGTAAATGCCCCTATGCAGCGACGATTACGAGGCAGCTCTTTAATAGAATGCAGCACTTCTTTACAAACATTACTGAACAAGCTGCACTGTTAAATGATCAGTTAGGAGAACTCCAACAGTCACATTATCACCATGGAAACATGTCAACTTATCTCATCCGATGACATCATAATCACCACTACATATATATATAAATCAAAGTTTCATGATATTTCTAACTACCTGTGTATGTGCATTAATGATCTGTCAAGCATTATGTGATGTTTTTTTTAATTATTATTTTTACCTTTTGATTCTTATTCAACAGATATAGTAGAAAGAGGATGGATGTTATGAGTAAGACATGGAAAACATGGTCAGGATAATGCTCCAGGCCAGATTTGAACCTGTGCCACCTATATGAGCATCAAGGCACAACGTGTCAGTAGTGACAAGGCTCCAAAGTTTGTTAAAGTCAACATGAAAGATTTATTTGCAACCCATTTTAAAAATTGCAAGTTTTTTTTCCATCTGGAATTGACTGGGAGGGAAAATAAGAGACAAACATGTTTTTCTCTTTGAAAATTCATAGAATTGTTTTTGGAATGAATCAGAATTAATAAATCATTTACAATACAATCAGGAATGTGTTTTAATGAAGTAAACATGGTCGATTTTTAACTTCATGTTGACTTTAAAGCATTGTATAAAGTGTTACCGAAGATTCCTATTGTCGCATTCATGGCATTCCCAAAAGCAGCCAAGATGTTCATTAGAGACAACAGGAACATTCTGAAATCAGGTGAACTTTGGAATGTGTTAGGGAGTTTATAGCTCTTGATTTGACGCTGAAAGAGTGAAAAACTGTATCAGTTTTTGAGGAGGAGAAAAGCAGATGTACCGTCGGTGTGGGAGGTTGAGCTTGATCACTGACTCCATCAGTCATACTAGAGGAGCGTAGCCGAGAGGAAAGATGACTCTGCTGGAGTGAGAGAAAGAGATAAAAAGGCATTAGGCATGGTTATAAATAAATAAAGACATAAATATCTAACATCTTTCGGAGTGGTCATTTTCTAAGTGGTCCTCTGAACGGAATTCAGCCAAGTCATTAAAAAAAAAGAAGTCAGATAAACAAAAATGAGATTTTTTGGCTTAGCTGAATCTGTAGTTTATACCCCGAAAAGAAAAGAAAACCCTTAATATTTATTTAAAATCATTTAAATAATATAATATTGAATAATATGCATGTTTTGTTTACAAACTCTGCTTTTTTTTGTCAGATGGGATGACGTGAATAAATTCATACACAAAGTTCAGTAGTGCGCAAAGCTAACATAAAAAATAAAACACTAATTTAATATTTAATTTAACTTAATTTCATATTTCATGACTTAATATTTAATGCTATTTTTTTTTTTTTTTTTTTTTTACAACCTCTGCTTTCAAGTTTTTTTTTGTTTTTTTTTCATTTCGGATGTGAAGTGACAACCAAATTCATACACAAAGTTCAGTAATGTCCAAAGCCATCTGAATTCATCTAAACTCACATGTGCCATTCAGTATGAATGATAGATGAGTGAGTGATCAAGCGATTTCAAACACATATGCATATGCATCAATTTGTATATACAGTAATCCTCTGGCGCTTATGTATCTGCTACGCTTTGTGAATTCAACACTGTGGCAGATGTCATGATAGGCATCAGCCGAAGAAACATTTTCAGTTTATACCTCTCTAGGCCCCTTGCTTTTATTAAACATTTCGTCTAATTTGACTATACTTTCAGCCACAAAAAGAGAGTGTAGCAACTTCAGCTTTGTTTAACACAATTACAAACAGAAACAGATCAAAAGTCTGAGCCTATTCCAGACAGTTTTTCATCTAGACATGTAGACTACATTGTCTGAACAAATGAGCAATGTATTATCCAGTTTCATTACTTGCAAATACCACAAAAGTCACTCAGTCCAAAACATTGAATTTTAAAAACAATTCAGTCTTAAGTGTAGTGTGAACAAAGACTTTCCCAACTGAGTGGCTCCTTCCTGCAGAAGCTCACAGAGGACCCCGGCGCTGCATCCACAGTGACTCACTGAGTGATTCAGCATGAGTGTACAGAGGTGCACGTGTGTGGAGTCAGCTATTCGTTTTGACACTCTTAATAATACAATTTTACTCACCATTTCAAGAATTTCACACATAATACCCTTATGTAGAATTTTTTTTTGAAAAAGGAGCAATATTACTTGAGTAGCCGTGCTGATATAGAGCCATACTGCACTGCCTCTTCTCTTCTCATACTGCCTCTTCTCATTCCAGCTGCATTTACTCAGTGCAACTTATAACATTCAAGTGAAAGATATAACACCAACATAATTTCCAGAATCACAACAAAATGTGATTATTTTAAAGGGGGGGGGTCATTCTTTTTTATACCCACTGTATGTATTTATATATGTATGTATACAACCCACTATAATTTTACAAATACTACTGTTGTTGCGTCATAGAATGTAGTTGTTTATTTATTTATTTACTTTCCTCTCTCTCTCATTCTCTCTCTGGCCCTTTGAACATGGATGACAGCAGATTTAAAACTTTGTTCTCTCTTACCACAGCAGAGCTGGGTCCTGGGATTTCTCCGTTCATGTCTGGAGTGAGAGACAATCTAAGGCTGATTTCATCTGAGAATTCTGGAGTGCTGGAGAGGGGCATCGCCAGAGAGGAGGGTCCGGTCAGAGAATGGTTTAGACCGTCCGCCATTAAAGTTGGGTCCTCCTCTGATATGGGTTCCCATGACTGGAAAAGGAAGGATATGCATGAGACCCTAACATAACATTGCTTTTATTAACACTAAATATGTAAAAACATCTGATAATCTTTTAATTTTTAACCACAGTGAGATACTTTATTTAGAACCAAAAGCTTTTCAAAGAAAGGATGATGCTATCTAGCTCACGTCATAGCTGCTGAGATCAAAGTGAAATACTAACGTCGTCTATGTCCCTGATGTCCAGCTGCTCATTTTCCAGGTCTTCGCTAATGTGCCGTCGAGAGCGGAAAACTCTGTGGGCTTCCTGGTTAATATGCCGTAAGTGATTATCATTTTCCGTTTCTGAAACCACATCCCTAAAACAAAGATAGGGAGAAAAAACATGTTCCACACATATCAGAGTCTGGTACGATTGTCAGAAAATCATGATAAATTCAACATAATGGCGCATTAACTAGTCATTTGCAGACGAATCTACAAGATAACATTTTATGTCACAAAAACAGTCACATCAATATTCTGATTTTAGTTTTTCAGTGTTTTTGCTCATTTTTACATGTGCTCTTTGATAAATGACAAAAGAGGTCACATACACACTACTGGGTCTCTTCCACTGTGTGGTGCGGTTGTTGTGGTTGACATAGTATGTCCGTCCCAGGTTATCGACCTTCTCTTCCCAGCCAGGAGGCAGCGGAGGCAGGAGCTGCTGAGGTCTCTGTGAACCTGGATCCGTGGAGTCTGTCACCTCACAGCCCTGAGAAGAACAAAGTGAGAGACAGAAGAGTAAGTGAGAGTGAGACAGTCTTCAAAATTTTTGTATATTAGCACCAAAAATGATAATTGCAAAAAATCTAGGGACAAGGTTATTTTCAAGAACAAAAGTTGAAAGTCTCAAAGTTTTTTTCAAATGTTAAATACTTTCTCCTATTCCATCTTAATACGTTATGATTAGTATTGCAGCTGCTATGACACGGCACTCTCCCTAGCAGAGGAAAAAAAGAAAAAAATCAAACCAAACTGAACAGTGGGAATAAAAGTCAGAGAACAGGAAGCCAAGAAAGGTAAAAGGAAATGCCAGACAGTCAAATGGTTCAAGCCAAATGGCATACTTTAAACGAAAAATGCCAGGTAGTCTTTGGGGATGAGGATGAATAGACACTAAAATCACTGAAAAGAAGGAGTTAAAGCAAGAAAGGAGACATTTAAGTGTGTCTCCATTCTGGATAGAAAACATTTCAAGACATCTTTCAGTTATCTGCCATGTTCTATAATATTGGAGTATATCTACTATAATGCTGGTCTACATCTACGTACATGTTTCGACAACTGCAATTCCATGTACATGATTTTTTTCTAAAATAAAAGGCAAGTTTCAGTTATAGTTTTTATCTTTCAAAAAATGTTCTGTAATTTAGATGCCACTGCGCTTATTATTTATTTACTTCATTTCATGTCATATTCATTCATTTTTGTCCATTTATGAGTTGATGATTTAGTAGATAAATCTGATTGTCTGAATCAATGTACTACATTAAAAAACATTGTTAGTGCATTAATATCTCGTTATATTTTTCTAAATGATCTTGTCTTATAACTAGGGCTGTCAATCAATTAAAATATTTAATCACGATTAATTGCATGATTGTCATGAGTTAACTCGGGATTAATCGCAACTTAATCACACAGTTTTAAATGTACCTTAAATTAATACCTTTTTAAGTTTTTAATACTCTAATCAAAATGGGCATAGACAAATATGGATGCATTATGCAAATGTATGTTTATTATTAGTGAAACCATACTCAACAGAGTATAAAGAATTCAGATACAGGTTTTCACAAAAACAAAGTTTTTTAAACCATTTTTAAGAAATTGAATTAAAAGTCAAAAGTATCAATTATTATATTAATTTTTATAATGCATTATCTTCTTATCGATCTACCAGTTCACATTTACAACAGCATGTTTGCTGCATAAATACATGGGTGGATGTTCGCATTGGTCTGAACAAAAACAGCAGATGGGCTTGTTGAAAATGCAAATTCATTCTCTGCCAACAGATGGCGCTGTCGGAACGGCAGAAATAGAGCGGTTTCTCCGACTGTAAACAAAGCAGCACAGCAGCTGACTTTGAAACTTTCAGCGCTCATATTTATTCAATGAAGTCATCGCCTTTTGAAGTTAAATCGTCAGATTAAGCCATATCGCAGTTCTTGTCTTTCCCTCCCCAAATTTAAGACCTCTTGAAATCATAATTAAGTATCATAATTAACTTTCTTGTACCATTTAAGACTTTTTATGGCCTTAAATGATACAACTAAATTTAAGACCTCTTAAGACTTTTTAAGGACCCGCGGAAACCCTGAAACAGAAAATACGCGCTGCATTAATAGCACGTTAATAAAAGTAGTGCCGTTAAAATGAATTTGCGTTAATGCGTTATTAACGCGTTAATTTTGACAGCCCTACTTATAACCTTTACTGTTGAAAGAAAAATCCTAATAATTAACTTTTTTTTTTTTTTTTTTTGAGTTGAGACATTCAAAGGAGCAAGAGAGATATTCAAGAATGTTTCTGCGAATGGGTTGGTTTTACCTCAGCTTCTTCCCTCATCTCGCTGCTTTCCTCCTCATGCCCTCCGTCTTTTGGCAGGTAGGCCATCTTCAGCCTCAGGCAGCCTTTCACCCGAGACTTATGACTACAGGACATAAAAGCATGTCATCACACAAGTCATCATAGAGCATAGTAAAAACAGTATTTTCTTAACACATTATTTTGTATTCTTTCTAAGCCCTTAATTACAAGGAATTTAATTGTTTGAATAATTGTTTGAAATTATTTTAATCTTTTAAGAGCCCCAATATTTTTCCTATAAACTAAACTGTTTTAAAAAAGAGGGGATTATCTCTGGTTGAGAATCACTGTATAGTGAAGTATAGTTTATAGTGAAGTAGAGTCATCAAGGATAACATTAAAATATAGCAAAGTACAGTCCACATGCATTAACTGTTCCTGTGTAAAATCTTTGGCCGTAACTATAACCACAGAGCATTAAGGGGATTCACAGGTGTTCGTGTGATAGTTGCACATTTCATTCCGAAAGAACTGACAAACCTCAAATGTGCTGTATTGTATAAAATGTCCAGTCCTCTGAATAAGGTCAAAGTGCAAAACCAACACATCACCCTGTTGTAACTTTAAATATAACCGCTAATGTTCCTTTACTGTGTTTGTGAAAGCTGCATGACCACTGACCTTCTTGGACGCAGGAGAAAGTCTTTAAACGTGTACGGCCGCTCCATTGCAGGGTCCTCTGTCTATACACCAACAAAACAACACAGAAAATCAACAAACATGAATCAAATCTGGGCCAATCTCAGTTCAAACTTACAAAGCATTAATATGTAACAGTCCCAGCTTGTTTGGGGGTGGAGAACGAGAGATATAGACCCTTGGATGACGCCCAGCTGTCTTATGTAACACTGTTCTCCTGTTACATTTAAACTGCCCACAGGTTGGATATTCACGGCTGGTCATTAGTGGCAACAATCTGATGGAAATTGACGGAATTGGCACTTCTGCCAGTGCCCGAAACCAAAACTATGTGAGGAAAGATGGGAGGCCCTGAAGGAAAACGGGCGAGTTTTCCTGTTTGGCAAGTCTAGATCAAATAGGAGGTGAAAAAGCATTCAGACTTCAAAACCAGTCAAACCAAAAATCCACAAGGTAGCTTAATCAATAAACAAATTTCTAAGGAAATATAAATCCATATATACACGTCTGATCCAAGTATAGGAAACCACTTTTAAATATTCAGCAATAAGAGCAGGCAGAAAAGGAGCGCTTGGTCTGGACTGCAACCACGCAGAACTGAACAGTAGATATGTAGGCGGCCACAAGGAAAACAGACTAGACTCTGTGTGTGCGAGCCTAAATATGCAATCCAGCAAAGAAATCTCACTTTGCCACTGGAAATAGTTTAAATAAAAACAAGAGTTGTTCCAATCCTAAATGTTTAGGAAAACAATCTCTTGTTCAAAACAAGTAAACTGGAACAAAATACCATATTGAAAACCAAAGATTTTGTCAAGCACAAAACTTGCCAACACCTATCTTCTTTGAGACGCTGTGTTGTTTGGACTATTTTGAAGCAATAAGGTATTAAAGGCTATGCTATTTTGTGATTTATTGTAATATTATTACTGTACTAGACTATTTTGTATAAAACATTCAAAATATATTTTAAAATATTTATATTATTTTTCAAACAAATATATTCTGTTTTTGAAAAATAATATTTTCAAATTAAATTATAATAAATATATAACTTACAAATACATTACACATATTTTAGAGCATAGCATATAATCATATTTTAAAACGTATTTAAATTAAAATTCAGACAATTTTTTTGTAAAAAAAACATTTAAATTTTTCCAAACGCATGCATAAATTTTGAGTTTGAAAACTAATAAACATTTAAAAAATAAATATATTTTACAACATTTATCTTATTTTTTTTAAAACAAAATGTATTTAGAATTTAAATCACATTTATATTTTATTTTTCACATATATAAATCATTTATATTCTTTTACTACTCTTGTTTTGTCAACTGCCTGTGTTGCACTGCTCTCTTTTTTGTGGGCAGACTAAAGTCATATATATATGTATATATATATATATATATATATATATAT